GGCAGTTTCGTAGAGATGGTGACCCGAGCAAAAACTTGGTGGCCTCGGGCCTCCGGGTCAGCACCAATTTCGAACGCTGATTACAACACACTAAACACTTTGTGTCCTACAATGAGAGAGTCCAAGACGTGGACGAGTATTCGGAGGTCAGCGTCTTCAAATGGTGATTTAAGGTGTGGGGCAATGCTTTTTCCTGGCCTTGATGGACCATGATGTACTCCAATCCTCGTCTTATTTGGTCACTTGTCCGAGTACAGTGGGATATTGTTGTTTCGGAGGTATTTTAACAAAGATATCAGTAGATTAGCTTCTCAAGAAGAAGCTTATTCAAATTTGAAGGCCAGAATCTCTCCATTGCCTTTGGTCGAGGTGTTTCTGGTTCAATTGAACTGTACACGATTTGTACAGTTTCAGTGCGTCTATTTCTCTCGCTAACCGTCACTGAGGGTTCATCTGAGTACATGTCGAACACATAGTAACATCGCCCGAACTGCTGGTATACATCCGAAATGGATACAAATAATAAGAGATCCGTGAAGCTGGAGAGGCTAGTCACATGAACCTTACGAACTGTGGCCATTATGTCAATGACAAACGAAGCGTTATTCCGATGGCTATAGTCATAGTTCTCAGGTTTGAGATTAGTCTCCAACTTCTTAATCAACAGGCTCTTCCCTGGGCTCTTCATTCCATCCTCATTGAACAGGAGGTGAAGGTGCAACATCATATTTCAAGAGGTACTTGGTGGTAAGGCCACAATCACGTGTGATTTCAATCATTCTCCCTACAACATTCATCTCCTTCACTGCTTTCTTGATGATCTTCCGTGGCATGTCTCGATTTGTTTTCATTGTTTTCAGGTTCGATCGATTAATGCTTTCACTAAGTCTTGTGATTTTCTGAATAAACATTTTGAGTCGAAATGTCAAGTACTTCTTTTCTCATTTTGCGAAGGCACTCAGTATTTCATTTTTGATGTCTTTTGCCATGATGTCCCCCTAGAGACATGGGGAGCCCTTCTTTTCAATAAAAGTTACCTTTGCCTGGATATTGGACTCCTTGCGAACTGTAGTAGCTTGTGATGACTCGTGGTGGTTAAAGGACTCGTGTGTCCTCTCCATCACATCAGCATATCTCCGTGCAGATTCTCTACTGCCATCAATTTCATGCCATCAAGTCCCATTGAGCAACGTACTGATTCTGCTTGGCATGCTCGATAATTCCGTCGCAGCATTTAGATGATAGGTTTATACTTTGCTCAAGCTTCTGGCCACCACCGACTGCAGTGAAGCGGCTGGGATTCTCCTTGATGGAAAAGTTCCCATTTGAGAAGTTCTCATGGACTGGTGGTGCGGTTTGAGATAAACGCTGCATGTCTTCCAGGTAGACAGAGTACCAGCGAAGATAGTTGGTCAAGTCAAAGGCGGCGAATATGTAGAGAGCACGTTGCACAGCATCAAGATGATGTTGCCATATCCCCCCACGATCTGCTCTCAACAGATCATGCACCACAGGCATCATGCAGAGGAACTGAGCCTAGTATCTGAAGTTCTCATTCGCAGCAGACCGTGCTGCGATGAATGTTTTCAGATCTTTGAATAACTTGCTGGAGGCAGTGGCAGTTTGATGCAAAAATAAATGTTTCAGATCTGTAAGTCTTAAATCTGGGCGAGAGATGGCGCTACGCCTAAATGATCGCCATTTTGGTTTTCGATTATCGTGCAAAGAAAAACAATAAAATATTCCACTCAAATTACTGTAACAAAGAATCTAAAACACAATATTACACGTAGGTATGATTGTAGTTGTTAACCAGTTAGATTGACATTTTTCTATTATTTTGGTCAAAGGTACGAGTGGGTAGTACGCAACCACAAGTTATCTTCTCGAATATCGCATCTCGCTACCCACCAAAAAAATCCAGCAAACATGCAGTTTAGAATGACTCAAAAGTAGGTTGACCAAATCTACCTAATTTGTAGGGGTGAGTATTGCGACCAAAAACCGTATTGCAATATATTGCAATACGACAAAACCGTATTGCAATATTTTCCAATACGTATTGGGAAGTGTATACCATGCATGATATAGTAACAATTTGATGGTTTTAATATCATCATATATTGTATATAACATGATTGTATATGTTGCATGATTGTATATGTCATATATTGTATATATTGACATGATTTAATTTCTCATGTTTTTCTTGAGAAACAGAAGCACGGCAATGTTTTCCGCTGACAGTGCAGCCCTCTGTGCCGTAACAATGTCACCCGCTGTACTGAATACCCTCTCGGAAGGCACTGACGTAGCTGGAATACACAATACCCCTGCTGCATTATTGGCTAATACTGGATACTGAAACTGAAACTGAAACTGAAACAGTGGGTGCTCGCTTCAGCTTGTATCGCGCGCGCGCGGGCACTCAGGTGAGCATAGGCTATATATAGACTCCATTGTTGCCGTGCTCTCTTCCTCGCGCACACGTCTGCTCCACTCTGCCCGCGCAGTAGTACCGCGCAGTGCTCCATGCAGTGGTCGCTTACCAGTAATACTGTATGCGTCGTGCAGGCATTGTGCTTTCATAATATATACACCGCCAGTGCATAATTTTCGAGCCCATTAACAATATAGACATAAAGGCAAGTGTCAAGTAATTTATTTCTTGTTATACCACCGTATCGTAAAATATCGATATCCGGAAGTTGTATTGCGATATATCGAGTTTTCAAAATATATTGCAATATACCGATATACCGGTATATCGTTACACCCCTACTAATTTGCATTATTAAAAAAAACAAAAAACCCGTGAGACATGTTTTGGGGCAAGTCCTTATTGATTCACATACCAAAAATGAGCAAAATCCGTTGAACCTGAACTGACTTATAGCCATTTCCATTTTTGCCAAAAAGTGGATATGGCTCGAAAGTAAGTCGACTGGCGTGCTTCAAAATAGGACGTTCAAATCTCTCCCATAGGAGTAACAACTGTATGCAATTTGAAACATGTGGCTCAAATGGTTCTTGAGTTATCGTTGACCATAGGCAGACACTGTAATGCATAGTGAAATTGCCAAAATCTACCTAATTTGCATAATTTAAAAAAAAAATGTTAAACACCCACCCTGTGATATGTTTTGAGGCCGGTCCTTATTCATTCACATACCAAAAATGAGCAAAATCTGTTGAACCTGAACTGACTTATGGCCATTTCCATTTTTGCCAAAGTGAGCATGGCTCGAAAGTAGGTCAACTGGTGTGCTCCAAAATAGGACGTTCACATCTCTCCCATAGGAGTAACAACTGTATGCAATTTGAAAGATGTGGGTCAAACGATTCTCAAGTTATCGTTGACCGTAGCCAAATTTTGACGGACGACACCCCATGGCAATAGCTCATCTTGACGATGTCAAGGCGAGCTAAAAACATAGCTACTGGTTGTTAGGCTTTCGTCCCGGCAGCCGCCCCGGTTACACACGTGGACGATAAAGTAGGCTGTGTTAGTCTGATAGCAAAACTTATAACACCCACACTGTGCTTTTAGTCTTTTGTAATGACGATGTCAAGGTGAACTAAACAAGTGCCGCAGAGCGACAGCGCTCATCTAACGTCTACTGCGGTGACTTTGTGGTGGAGTGGTAGGATTCTAGTAAACCCTGTTAGTCCCAAATGTGTTCACATACACGCTGAAACATTGGAATGCACAGGGATGGTATCAGAAACCTTCTCAAAGGAATGTTTGTTGGGATCGTTATGAAAGTTGCCACGAGATGGCGCGTACGTTTAAGTGTCTTCAGATTAAAGATGGAAGCTCCCATCGTATGTAGTAGCAACAACTATTTACAAGACAGATTAGGTAAGCACTCATCCATTTACCTACGCAAGCCTACTGGCTGCAATAGAGAGCTGCCACCTGTAACTAATTAATGCAAGCAAAAACTACACAGTACCACCACCACATGCACTGGCAGTGGCCACTGGCAGTGGCATACGTTACATGTAAAATACTGACAGTACAGAATGCCATAGAAATTATACGATTTAAAAAGCATAAACCTTCTTCAACCAAATTTAGCTTTTGAAATTTCATTGTGACATTGTAGCCTCGTACATCCAGGCATGTATAGATTCTACTAGCAAACCCGGCAGTCAAATTCGTTCTAACAAACAGTAAACAAATCCATGTTTAACCCTCCTCTTCAGGGTCAAAAGGTTATCTGACACTTACTCTTCGCATGTCAGCAGAAAGTAGATTTCATGGTCCTTTCAATAAAGCCATAAAAATGCTAGGTCACCGCTGAAACAAAAAAGTTTTTCAATCGCTCCGTCAGACCATGTCCTCAGAAAATGTCTAAAATCTGCCCTGTGCACCATTGACCTTTGACCTGTGACCTCCAATTTCGGCACAGTGATGGCTTTTCCTACCATGATGCTATACACCAACTACCACGAGCCTAGGTCAAGCCATTTAGATTTGTGCCGCAATTCTGCATTTCCTCCCTATACCTTAAGTTAAGGAGGGAATGTTCCCCCTTCTTTTACACCTCTTGACCTTTGACCTTTGACCCCCAGCTTCGACATCCCAACTCGTTTTGACGATCCCCCCCGACGTCCCGAATATCGTCACCGTACGTCAAGCGGTTAAGATTTGTGCCCAACTGTTGACGCACAGACGGACGGACGGACGGCCGGACGCACGCACGCACGGACGGACGGACGATCGTGCGATTCTACAAGCTGCATCTGACTAAATTGTTTTAAAAGTTAAAGTCTGCCCTTGAATAACAATAGAAAAAAGTACTTTTCACAAGAAATTTGTGTAGATGGATTTTAACTCCTAGCATTTGCGATAATCCTGTTTTAAATTTAGGTAATCAAGTGTGAATGGTAAAAAAAAAAAAGATTAAAAGATTACATTACACTATTTATACACATGTGCGAATGCTACGTGAGAATCAAGGCACAAGGGTTGACTGGTACAGTAACCTACCCACCTTCAGGTTCCCGTTCACTTATGTGCTGCAGGTTGGAAGCACTTTCTACTCTCTGGATAGTGACGACCTCTTCTACTGGAAGGTATCGCTCCTCCCGACTTTTTTTGCTTGTACGTGGACTTGCCGAACTCACACAACAGGTCACCTTGTTGCCCATATCAGTGACGAACAGATCGCACAGGAATAGTTTGTGCACCCACGTGTTACACCAATAGCCCCGTCCACAAAACACGCTAAGTAGGTACCTGCAAAATATAATAGAAATCGAAAATTTATATTATAAACAATTAGGTACGAGACAACCTGACGTATTATTAAAGGCCTCTGTATGCTCATAGCACTGCATCTTTTCAGATCATTTCATTGATACTGCTATAATAGTTTAACTTTACTCATTTGATCTAACTATCATTGTCACTTTACTCAAACCTAATTCAGGTAAGGAAATCATTACTGTGGATTATATATATTCAGGTAAAATACTTTTACATTATGCTACATGAAAAAAATCCTTAGTTAAAACTTCACTATAAATAGTTTTGAAATGCTTTGCAAATGCTGATGCCTGGTTGATTCAGCCCAACAGATTCACAGATGTTTGATTAATACAACAAATACATGTCTTTAATCAAAAAGCAATCGTGTGCCGTTACCAAAAACAGACAAAAATGTATTGCAACAATGGGGTTAGCCGCTAGAAACAGTTGCCGCTGGAGGGCAGCACATCTGCAGAGGTGAAGATTATCCGCGTACCCAGATGCACACCCGGGATAGAGTGGGGGAAGTGGGTGTTTCTTTGTGTGTGTGTCTGAGGAGTTATGTAATATGTTTATGTGAGATTCACGGTGATATTAGTGGTGCATATGTGAAAGTGGGGTGTTTATTCTTTGTGTGTGCTGAGGAGTTATGTAATATGTTTACTTGAGATTCAATAGTATATATGTAGGTAATGTATGACGGCTGCAGAAGAGCGCCCGCTAACTGGTCCCCCGGTTAACCCCAAACCAACTCCCCTTATATTCGGCGCTGACATGATATATGCGTGCGTGCGTGGGTGTGCACGTCCACGTGTAGTGCGTGCGTGGCGTGCGTGTACGACGTACAAGTGCGTGCGTGCATGCGTGCGTGTGATGCGTGGTGTGCACGTCCAACGTGTGTGCGTGGCGTGTTGCACGGTACTGTGCGTGGTGTGATGCGTGCGGTGTGCACGTACTCGTGCGTGCATGCGTGCGTGGGTGCGTGGTGTACGTACCCCGTGCGTGCATGCGTGCGTGTGGCGTGTGGTCACTCGTGCGTGCATGTCGTACCGTGGGTGGCGTGTGTACGTACCGCGTGCGTGCATGCGTGCGTGTGCTGCTGTGTCGTGGCTGCTCGCTGTGGTCATACATGTACTGCATGCTGCGTGTGTGCGTGCCGTGTGCAGGTAGCACGTGTGTGATGCGTGCGTGCGTGTGCACGTACATTGTGCGCACGTACAAGTGTGTGGCGTTCGTGTGTGCGTGCGTGCGTCGTGCGGTCTCGTGCATGCGTACGTGTGCTGCTTGCGTCCATATGTTAAGTTGGGGTGTTTATTCTTTTGTGTGTGCTGAGGAGTTATGTAATAATGTTTATTGAGATTCACGGTGATATTAGTGGTGCATATGTGAAGTGGGTGTTTATTCTTTTGTGTGATGTGTCAGGAGTTATGTAATATGTTTATTGAGCTTGTAAACTACAAAGCTCAAGTTTGCAATACAAATGGTATGTATATTCTTTGATTTTCTAAAAACGCAGCCATTTACTACAGACACTATAGGCATTACTGCTGACAATAGCTCGCCACCGAGAGAAATCTTCTGATGGGGCAGGTCTCCTTTTAATATTTTATATGTCTTGCTTTAGACGCAATGACCTCTCTACATGAATGCCTCTTAGATGCGATCAACGTCTATCCCTAACAACTGTCTCTGCATTAGTTGGGATTTTCCTTTTGAGCCATTGACGGCGTGTTTACATGCAGCGTCTTTAATAGGCAAACAGATCTCTGAACCATAATTCATCCTCTATCTGACATGATGCTGTCAGCCCCTGTCCAAACATTAGGCACTACTAACAAGCCAACTCCTCAATAATTTGACGGTCATGGGCGCAGCCCCATAGCTATCACTGACATAAGTACACCAAGGCCCTCTGGCTACAGCGATCGATTCGTTTTATAAGTGTTCTTGTTTTTGTACGTAGAAATGTAAGCACTCTTGCGCTCATCAACTCTAGGCTTTGGTTTGGTGAATATGGAAGTCTCGGTTGCATCTAAAATTAACTGCTTGTGTTTGGGAACAGTTTGTTGAAATTTGTGTTGGCATTAATACCGTCAATAGTTTCTCCGATCAGGCATCTTCTTTAAAATGCTTATCGGTTCCACCACATTTTTGCGTGCGTTTTCTTCAACTCTCCTCACAAGCAACCCTCCATTTGTAGTTCAGATTCTGGTTCGCTGGAAAGCTTATTGACAGCTTTACCGACTTACAACAGGAACACAAACAGTAACGAAGGCATTTACTTGGTTATATCGGCTATGATTTCTGTATCTTTTTACAACTGACTCGTTCGTTGCGCAATCGTTGTAACACTCTAAACTCCCGGCTGCGGGCCAACTGGGAAAGCTCAGCCGGGCTAACCCATTGACTTTGAGAAATCAAACACGTTGAATAAAATTCATGGACATGTCCTGACTTCGCAAATTTAAACATTTTTTCCTGAGTTTCTGTATGATAACACACTTGCTCATGACAATGTGAAGACCGGTGTTTTGTAAGGAGTAGAGTAGGGTTCACGCGAGAAACATGTTCTGGCGGCTGCTGTGCCTATAGATGTAGGCAACCAATCGGAACAAAGTATATACCAGTTTCCCACAATGAAGAAGGAGGAAAATTGGAAGGCCAAAAGTTAACAGATGCGGATGGAAAGAATCATCGTATTCTCGTGGTTCATGGCCAAGAGTAGAATTATGCTAGTACTGCGATTATAGAATATTTTGCTTGTGGGTAACTTTACATTACATTGGCCTGGGCAGCACTTGTTCACTTTATTAGCAGTTGGTGGGTGTTTGTCTTGTCTACCTCAGACTTACAGAAGCAGGAGCAGGCCAGCACGCACTTGGATGCAAGCCAGTTGAAACGAGGCAGCGCTCACAAGAGGGGAAAGCTAAAGGTCTTAATGAAGAGCCTCTGATATTTTCCCTTACTCTGCCTCCAAAAAAAAATCCGCAAAGAAAAGACTGTATTTGTGTCAATAATGATATTCCAGTTCTAAGCCATATGGAGCATACGCTATGTTCATCACACTCGGACCAGAACCATCTTCACGGAAATGAGTTACAACACTTGCTTAGTTGGCAGGCCAGTAAAACTACACGCAAGCTTCTTTAAAACGCGCCCATACACGCACATATCATTGACAATAATATTGGATTATTGACAAGAAATTCTGTTGGCCACCAACGGCCACAATAATATTGTAAATATCGTGATTTTGTGCGCTTCTGATGCTGAAGGTGAACAGACATGGATCCTTAGCTTTGCCTTGCGCTGGCTTTTGCACTGTGATAGGCCAACAGGGACAGGCCGCAAAAAGGAAAGGGCCAAGAGATGGTTTCACTAGCACGACGGATTGATATCAAGAGGTGAATCCAGATTCATCAGATTTCATTAGATTTGTGCAGACCCGGGCCCTCAATTTAACGACGAAATACATTTGCACGCAAGATATAACAGCAGTGGCTACCACGAGTGAAATGTCAACTACTTATTGTCAACATTTACTATTTGTATGTAAATATAGAAGGATAACTCTTTGCTGCTTGGACTTCAGAATGAGATATTGCCACAATATTCTGATTATGCTGCCACCCAACTGACACAATAATATTCGCCACAACCTTCAATAACAAGTGCCCGGCAGTAGCGCACGTTCTCACTCTGACGGCAGGTGTTCTGATGCTAACTCAGGGGGCATAACGATCCACAGATTGGATGACGGGTACTACAGAAGCGTTGCCGAACGGAGGGTGTGACCCGAAGTGTCTGAGCGCAGATCTTGCGCGCGAGTTCTCCGCGCAAGGCGCACAGCGAACGGGAACGTCTAACGACAGTATGAGCGTGGCAGCTATGGCATCCGTGGCGCGAAGCTTAGGCGCGGCGCCACGCATCCATAGCTGCAGCGAACAGTCACAATTTTAGTGTGGCGGACACAGCAGGGCAGACATTGGACGTGAACAGTGTTCATTGTTATAAAAACGTAATGTCTCTGTTTCGTAACCGGGCTGTGTCACGCGAGAAATGCAGCAAGAAAAGACTGACGGAAATTTTCGCCGTTCGCGAATCCTTGCCCAGTAATGGCAAATGGCTTGCAAGGACAAAGGCTATATATAGAAGCTGGGAGGTCGCTACCCACTCGATTACCGATCGAGTACTAAGCTAAAGCCGAGAGCGTGGAAAGCGAGTGCCAGTTCTATTGGGCTATAGGCGGGCGCGCAGGCGGCTGCACTGCCTTTTCCAACTCCCGCGTACGAGCTCGCATTGGAACGTTTGCAAAAACGTTGCGCAGCGTTATGCGGCGCAAGATTGAGGTCACGAAGCAGCGGCCGGTAGTGTTTCTCTGATTCTGACATGCCATTGTCATTTCTGGGTCAAGGTTCCAGTCGAACGCCGAGAATTTGTTCTGTGTCTTTGTCAAGATTTCGCATGGACACAGCTCGGTTAGCGAACAGACGACATGTTTTATATGAACAAGTGAACACTGTTGTTCTAGAGAACGAGCAGGAAGCTGTTGAATGTGTATTCGTGCCTGTGAAAGTTTCAAATGAAGTGAGCGTCGAGCGAATTTTTGGCAGCACGCTTTCCTAGCTGCTATATATATATTAGTGTAAGCGTCGCAACAGTCGCGCCACGAGCGCAATGGCAGCCGGCAGCGTACGTTGGACGTAGGATTTCGACGGAATTTACAGGAAACTCGGCAATAATAGATCACAATATAAACGCCGGACAAAATATGTCATAACTCTAATGGTGCACAGCTGAGTACATGGCTACCTAGCTTTAATATTGCCACTCGGCCGAAAAGGCGCCGAAATACATTTTTTTCATGCTCCTGAAATTCATTCTCAAGTACAGGATCTTATGGAAGATTTAATAGTGGTCTGTTCTCTGTATACAGTTACGGGACTGTACTCAATGCTAACATTAGGTACGGCCGAGCATGCGTGCGA